ACTCGACAACGGCAACAGTCAGGTAATGGTCATCGTCGATATATTCTCTACGTATGCTATGTTCATTCCTTTGCTTGCTGAAGCTAGAACCGAACTAGTCATTCAAAAGTTTCAAATGCAATGGGTCTCCGAGTATGGATTTCCCAAAACCATCGTATCAAACAAAGATATTCGGTTCACCAGTCTACAGTGGCAGAAGTTGATGAAAGTCATTGGAACCAGGTTGACCATGTCGTCAGGCAGACATCATGAAACGAATGGCCAAACTGAGCAAATGAATCATCTTTGCCAACAACGTTTGCGAATGTATGTCCGACCTGACCAAATCGATTGGGACGAGAACTTGCCTAAAATTGCTAATGCCTACAATAACAGTATACATACTGTTACAGGAAGAACACCTAACGCACTGCATAAACGATGGAAGCCTAGGCGTCCCATTGATGCATTATCACGGAACCAGGTTCAAATGCTACCCTCAGGTACGCGAGAATTTGTAGTTTTATTTGAAGAAGACATAAAAAAGGTTAAGGAAAAAGTACAGAAAGCCCAACTACAAATGATTGAACAAGCTAATAGACATCGCCGACCTTCACAATTCCAAGAATGGGACTTTGTCTGGGTTAAGTCTAAAGAGTTTTCCTTAGAAGAAAATGTGTCTCAGAAACTGCTACCTGCCTACTACAAACCCTGGGAAGTTCTCAAAGTAATTGGAGGAGAAGATGGACCTTCCTATCGTATAGATGCACCTCCACATCTAAGGAAATACCCTGTCTTCCATGCGTCTAAGCTGCTACCCTACGTAGAAAGTGATAACTTTCCAAACAGGCCATTTATGTTTCCACCCTCTATGAATGGAGGCTATGAAGTTGAAACGATATTGGAACATGGCTATTTTTCTACAGGTGGCAGAGGACGACCGCAAAAGCAGTACAAGGTAAAGTTCAAGTCCCAATCCCCATCTGAAGCCAGATGGTTTAGTAGGAAAGAACTCCTACCTACTGCTCTTGACATTGTTGCTACTTATCAACGTGGGTTGAGTCAAAATTGATGTATTTCTGCGACGGAACTCGAAAATTGGGCCGACAGCGATGCAATAACCCATGTAGTAAGCCTCGTGGAAACGGAGGGCCTCACCAGGCCACACCGAAGCCCAGGCCAAAACGGGGGAAAAGACCCCAACAAAAGATTCAGGGTCTGGACGAGGTATAGTTGATAAAAGTCAACTGCCGGAAACCCCAACAGCCAAAGTCAAAATGAACCCAGCCCAGGCCGCCGGTTGGACACACGCATTTGTTTGTATGCAGGTACCCAGACAGCATCAGGCCCAAGGGGAAAGTCTGCAACTGTACAATCCAGGCCTTCGGCTGTGAATCAATTTGGACGACCGAGGGGAGGAGACCCGAGGCCAGAGAGACTTATCAAATGCTCCTTAAAGACTGGCCTCGAGGTGGTCAACATTCAGTCTTGCCATGCTGCTTTGACACTGGCATTATGCTGGCACGATGCTGGCTAGGACGCTGGCTGTGCATAGGCATTGCGGACGACGGCACGAGGTGGAGGCAGCAGGCTGGCACTTCTTGTTCTGTGCACCAGGCATGCTGATGTGGTGCTGCCTCTGGTCTACATTGCATGCTGATGTGGCGCTACCTCTGGTCTACGTTGCATGCTGATGTGGTGCTACCTCTGGTCTACACTGCATGCTGATGTGGCGCTACCTCTGGTCTAYATTGCATGCTGATGTGGCACTGCCTCTGGTCTACATTGCATGCTGATGTGGCRCTVCCTCTGGTCTACAYTGCATGCTGATGTGGCRCTRCCTYTRRWCTACATTGCATGCTGATGTGGCGYTGCCTCTGGTCTACAGTGCATGCTGACGTGGCGCTGTTTTTAGTCTACATTGCTGATGTGGCAGTGCCACTGTTCTTCATTGATGATGTGGCGTATGCCACCTGTCTCGACTGCTGATGTGGCATTGTCCACGCTGTCTTCATGAGGTGACTGGTTGCGAGGAGGAGGAAGGTCAGGATCTGTGGATGAGGGAGGTCGGATACTCACCTGAGGTTGACGTTGTCACTGAAATCTGCTGTGTCTTCATGGTCTCCACGAGATAAGAGTGCTATGTGGCACCACTATTGTGATCAGGATTACTATACTTGTTATCATCTACTGGTTGTTGCTGTGGAGAGGGAAGAAGCCCGGAGAAGGAGAGGGGTTTGACGGGATTACTCTTGCAATCTTTTATCTTCTCTTCCACCTTCTCCTCTGTCTGATCCCCCTCCACTCTCTTCTTTTAATGGTAACGAGATACTGTTTGTGATATCACTTCATGATTTGGAGACTTTGTTGCAGATACCACTGGTGTTTGACGACTTCTCAGTATCTATCAGACTGGGTTCATTACAGGGGGGTCAGCATTGGGAAAAAAAAAACAGAATTAGTCTGAGTCCAGCCCTGTTTGGCACCTTTAAAGGGGCCAAAAGAATAAACATAACATTTTTTGGGGGGTCAGCATTGAACAACAGGAAGAAAAAGTCGGATTTTTTTATTTTTTTTTTTGGGCCAGATTTTGTCCCCTGTCCGAACACCAGAACGGACGTCTGGATGCAAATCTGGATCCAGACAGTCTGGACTGGGATCCGGACGTGCGGATCGTAGCCATGGTGATTAATGATCCGCCACATCTCCGCACTTGCCCTGTTTTTCACGAATCGAATCTCTTGCCATATATACACAGCGACCTGTTTCCTTCCCTTAGACCAGTGCTGCCCCAGCCATGACTGGAGGTAAAGTTGTGGAGCACAGAGTTATGCCTGTGCAGAGGCCACGAGGCAGAGGAAGACCACATGCAGTTCAAAGTGCCTTTCGAGGATCATCTAGGCAAGAGTTAATGAAGTCTCCAACTCTACACAGCACAAGAGCTCTAAAAGGGAAGCAACAGCAAGAAGATTAAGGGTTTCCGCGGAGGGCTTTGAACCAAAGGGGGGCGCAAGACCTTGGCAGCACTCAAAAGGAGCCGCCTGTAAAAATGTGTCTGGCCCTGAGGGAAGGTCAGGCCTATAAAATGCCCCCCAGCCTCTGGCGAGGCTGGCATGACGCAGTTCGAAGGAAGTCTGGGTGCAGCCTCATCAACTAACCGGTAGGCCCAGCCTTGCAGTTAGCTGCAGAGGCTGAGGTCCGGGTACCCAGTGGAAGGTTCTCAGACTAGGAAGAGCACAGTCCCAGCCATGCAGCCATGGCCTCCTGTAAGTAACAAAGGAGAGGAGGCTGCAGCATTCTACATATTCGTAGGTACTGGCTGCCAGCATGAACCTTGGTCCAGTGCCAGCAGCCAGGACATTGTGAAAGGCCTTCCACGATTCAGACACCAAATTCGAGTTTCAGGGTCAAGGTCTTAGGCCAAGACGGTCAGTTTCAGAGAAGTCACAGTCGGGTACCTTAGGAGTCGAGTCCAACAGGCACCCGGTGAACAGTCACATCCCAGGGGCAAAGGTTGCGTTCTTAAAACAAAAGTCACGTCTCATAATGAAAAATCATATTGAAAAGCCACATCCCACGGGCAAAGGACACTTCCCCAGGCAAAAGTTGTGTCCCAGAGGCAGGAGTCACAACCCACAGTCAGAAGTCGTGTTACATAAGTGAAAAGTCGTGACTCACAGGCCCAAGCAGCAGCACACCAATGAAAATTCGGAAAAGGTACCAGGCCCTGACATTCTGAAGCAAACAGGCCGTGGGGATATGGTACCAGAACCAAGTCAAGCCGCAAGAAGCAGAGGCTGGGAAGAGTTGAAGCTCAGTCCAAGACAATATAAGGACTGGCCAGGCCCCCCAATTCGAACAGATCGCTCATTCGCATGAAGTGTGGAAGTGCTGGTGCACTTGTGCGCTATTGGGAGGAGCGAAGCACTGAGCCAGAGAGCTGCGCTAGTAGAGGGAGAGAGGGAGGGAGCAGCCATAGCTGCCCCAGCGCTGGCAGAGGGATGGCAGCCTTAGCTGCACCAGTGCCTAGTGGTTAGTAGTAGACCTCAGAGGGGTTAGTAGAGTTAGCACTGGGTGTATTCAAAGTCGGTCCTTGAGTGGTAGAGAGTGTGGGTGCATGCAGGTAGGGAGAGAAGATGCAGTGAGGACATGGGCAGAGAGAAGACCAGTAGAGAGGGAAGAAGGGAGAGAAGCAGTGAGAGTGGCCACTTACCTGTGTGATGATGATACTGGATACTGGTTACTTGGCATTGCGCTGATGAGCGTTTGTGACTGGAACTCTTAATTGCTCACGTATTAATTTGTTGGAATTTCTTAAGCTGCGTTTTGGTCTTCAACTCTCTGTACTACAGTAAGATTTCGTGCGATCTCATTTGTGCATGAGTGCATGTGTGTGCACTCATTGGTGACGAGCTGGGAGGCTCATTGCAATTGCATTGACGAAGGAGAAGCTGCTCCGTTTGGCGGCAGCCATAACCTCGCCAAGGAGGAAGAGGGTGGGATGGGGTGATCAGGGGAGAAGGATAGAGGTGGGAACAAGCAGGCTTACCTGGCGATGGCCAAAGAGCACACTCGAGGTGGTCAGTCTCTGCAGCATTGCTAGGCGGGAAGAGAGAGGACATATAGGAGTGAGGCGAGAGAGAGAAGTAGGCTGTGCATAGGAGATGAGTAGGATAGTATAGACATTCACATCACAAGAGAGCTACTACATTGTGGGTGTGTTGATGAGTGGAGGCGAGGAGTTGGGCTTTTACTCTGAAGAGACTTCGATGTCGATGTGTCTTTAGTTGGTGTGCTGTCAGTTTTGTAAATCTGCTTTAGAGTCTAGACTGCTTATATAGTCTGTTCCTGGACCTTTCTGCTTAAAAAAAAAAAAAAAAAAAAAAAAAAGAAGTCTTTTTCTGGCATGGAAATTTGTGTTCTCATTGATGGGTTCCTTGCATCGAAAAAAAAAAACAACATAATTATTGTGTGACACTCTGAAGAGTCTGAACTAGCAATTACAGTTGTGCCCGCCACAGTGGCAGTTGACAGTGAAACACACCATTTATAGGGACTCTTGGCCTTGCCACACTACTCATCAAATGCATAAAATGGTGAGTGCATCTTGAGCTAAATGTGGAAAGCTGCACTCGACATTCTCTCTTCCTTTTTTTTGGTCCTTGTCACATTTGGCCAATCATGGAGTGCCAAGGCCCAACGGCACATTCTTTGCATATCCACAAATGTTGTGTGACTGTACAGACGTCAGGAGTTCATGTGTCACACGGTCTTGTCACCCCCAACTCTCACAGCCTCACATCTATAGATACCTGTCACAGTCCTCTTCGCAAAGTGCATCATTCTCTTTGAAAGACGCACAAGACATTGATTATCAATCAACACACGCAAAACCGCAGGGAACAAAAGATTGAAAGTCAATAGTGCGTCAACAACGAGCCTCCATTCACTCACTCAGTCAAATGATCATCATCCTACCAGAACCACCAGCCTCTCTACCATCCCCATGATTTAAGGATCATAATGGGCCTGAGCAAGGGTGATAGAGGTACGATTGCAAATTCAATTCATTAAGAACGCAGGGCTGGGAAAGAAAAAAACAACCAACAAGGAACCCGCGATATCAACAAGACTCGCACCCAGAACATCTGGGAGCTATTGATGCCAAAAAAAACAAGTGCCAAAGACAAGTAAGTTTCAGCCCTCCTGCTTTGTGGACTCCGCCCTCCTGCTTTGTCGACTCCGCGAGCAACTCTTTTCCTCAGAGGAGACACTCTGGCTTCACACAACCGCCACTCTCCTCCTCTATTGAGCTATAACCACACTAACGTCCAAACCACTAGTTCCTCGACACAAAGTAGGGGAGGCACGATGACAGCACGTGTTCAGAAATTTGTGTATAGGAGTGTGTGTATGTGTGTGTGTGTGTGTGTGTGTGTGTGTGTGTGTGTGTGTGTGTGTGTGTGTGTGTGTGTGTGTTTGGCTCCATGGAGAACAGCAACCAAAGGCCGTATTGTGAGGTGAGTGCCACATTGTCCACTTTTGCCCGATGTGGCAAGCAATCTTT